CTAGGCACCAATCAAATTGTCAATAGTTGTAGGTTTTGAGTTCTAAAACCAGGTTTGATCGACAATACCAACAGCTATGTGCAACAAGATATTTGACCGAAACAAAGCCTACGAAAATTTAATCGAAGTCTACTCTGAGATAGCAAAAAGTCTACCTCGCTTTGAAAGACTTAGCGAAGCATTCCGCAACCAACCAGAGTTTCAAGATGTGCTGGTAGATGTATACACAGATATCTTAGAGATCCATCTAGAGGTGTATAAGATCGTGCGCAGGAGCGGTAGGTATCAGCCCATCAAAGGTATAATTATGTTTGGCTGATTTGAGGGTAAAGGCTGGCGAAGACTCTTCGACACATGCTGGAAGGACTTTGGTCTTCGATTGAAGGCCATTTTGTCACGACTTGCTACAAACAGAGACCTTGTTGATCGAGAAGCTGCTAGCTTTGAGATTGTTGAGGCAATGGAAGAAAGAAGAAAGTCACTGCTGGAAGCAAAGAGAAAAGAGATGAAAAGACTCGATGAGTATTCCCGCCAAGTGTTCGAGTGGCTGCAGCTCGGTGAGCGTGACAGAGAACAAGAGGATATCTTGAATTATTTTCAGGAGGCGCGGGCCCAGAACACTTGCGAGTGGCTGATGAAACATCCAGAGATCAGGACCTGGCTTGATGAAGAAGACAAACGTCAGGTACTATGGTTGAAAGGCAAGCCAGGCTCAGGTAACTTTGTCTCCCTTTCACCACCAGATTATTACTCATTCTTTCCAGGGAAGTCAACGCTCGTATCATATCTTGTACAAGAAGCGCCTATGTCCTCAAGATCCTTTCTCATGTGCTGCATGAGTTCCGAGCTTCTAAGGAAAGGTGAATGCAACCCTGCCGGTACGATTCTACGGTTGTTCTGTGCCCAAATGTTACGAAAGAACCGCCGTTTACTTCCATACATATATGAGGAATATGTGCGACTCAACTCCACTCTCTCACTTAAGAAAGTCAGAGATATAACGAAGTTGCTTCTTGATTCCCTTGGTCATGTTTTTCTAGTGTTTGACGGACTGGACGAGTACAGTGACTGCCACCAGGCCGGCATCATTGACGAGTTATCGCGGCTTCTCAAGCCACCATCCGACACTACGGAAGATGCAGGAGCACCGGACCCTGTGGACGGCATCCGTGTCTCAGGCGTAAAGGTTCTAATCTGCTCGAGAGAAACTCAACCCATCCTTCGAGAGACCAAGAAAAAGTGGAAACAACCGGCCGTCATTAATCTCACCAAAGAGCACGAATACGCGCTCGTATCTGAAGACATATCCAGATTTGCCAAAGTGAGGCTCAGAGCCCTTGGCGAAGATTTCGATCAACCAGTGCTGGATAAGATACTTGAAAGCCTGACCAACAAAGCCGATGGTGAGTGTGAAAACACAGCGACGAGGAATGATTTTAGCCTAATACGTCGTCAAAATAGGTATGTTCTTGTGGGTTCATCTGATTATGGGATTTCTGCAAGACCAAGCGAGTGTCGAAGACTTGAGATTAACTATCAACATGCTACCGAAAGGTCTGACGGGAGTGTAAGATCCGACATCAAATACAAGAAACTCAAACACTAATACACAAGTGGAGCAGATATCAGACCATCCTCAACCGGATTAAAGACTTCGAATCTGATCTGGACAAAACCAACTGTGAGAGAATTCTAGGACTTCTGACACACTCTCTACGTCCTATGAAGGGATACGAGGTCTGCGATGCTGTCGTTTTTCACAAAGAGCACGGCTGTCTCAATCGCACCACGAAGCTAGACAAAAAGGTTCTCAATCTATGCAAACCATTGATCGAAGAAAAGCCCAGTGGTCAAGTGTCCCTTGTACACTTTAATGCTAGAACGTGAGACTTACACCCTTCGTACCCAGCAGCTATCGAGCCATAGACTGATTTCCATCTCAATGAGTAGTTACCTTCTCAGCAAGGTCAGTGGGCCGTTTTTGTCGCCTGCTAAAGTGCACACCGAGATTGCACTTTCTTGTATTCGCTATTTGTCTACGAGCATATCTTTTGTCTCAATGGATAATCCTCCCGTGGTTGATATCATCAGAGGATATCATGACCTTTTCCCATACGCCCACGACTTCTGGTTTGATCATTTGACAACCAGTGTCTGTAATGCCCCCGAAAAAGACTTAAGGAGGCTTCGAGAGAAAGCCATGAGTGTGTGGAACTCATTCAACAAAGTCGGATCAGCGCCTGAAGTTGCTCAAAGCGAACCTGAAACGTTGGAGAAAAACGTGGATCCTCAGCTAGCTCGCCTGTTCAATTTCTTGGGCCCTGCCAAGGAATACTACATCTTTAAGAACGGGGAATCCGAGGGCTCTCGGAAGCTTTTGAGACCGCTTAGTACGTACCTCAGTTTCATACCTTGCGAAGAAATGACATGGCCAACTGATCCCACACAGATGCGGCAGAGGATCCGACGAGGCTCTCCGAAGCCTATCTCAAATACAGCTCACTGCTAGAGTCGCTTCTCAATGCTAACGCAGCCCTGGATGCCTACACGTCATCCATCACTACCACTGAGTTGAGAGAGTTCAAGCAGAGACATGCCCAAGGGGCTTTCAAATGTCGCTGGGCGGGATGTACTCAAGGGTGGTCCGGATTCAAAAGCGAGCGAGAACGCGACGATCATGAAAGATCGCACAAGCCTCAATTCCGGTGCAGCGATCCAGATTGCCTCCTTGTTTTTGATTCGAAAAGAGCTCTGCGCAACCATAAGCTTCAGTACCACGTCAAAGAGAGTGATTGGGTTTGGCAACAGGGCACTAACCCAGAGCAAGATGCCACGCCAGAGCAGCAAGCAATTGGCGCGTATGTTTCGGTGCCTCTTGGTGAGCCAAAGTTCGAACAGCCATGGCATACGTCACCAAATTTCGAGATTGTGCGACAAAACGCGTGCGAATTAGCCAACAAGACACAGAGACGGGAACTTGTCGGGATTCTGGAAAGAATGACACAGCCCATGAAAGATGAGCTTAAGCGTGACAAAAAAGACCCATTGGAATACCATTTCAGAAAGAAGGCAATCGGAGACTTCCGGCAATTGCAAGATGAAGAAATGGCGAAGAGAACGGCAGTCTGTGAACCCCATGACACTCGGCCCGCCAAAGTAAGAAAGATGATCAAGAACACAGCGAGGGTCGAACGTGCCGAGGAGAGGATTGATACTTCGTTGAGCGAAGTAATTGAAATCGTAAAAAGAAGACCTGAGTTGAATCCGGAGGCGGGCGGGAAGTGGACTGACGGAGTGAGTCATTTGTGGAAAGACTAAGCAAGAAACATGCTCTGCATTTGTTACTTGTTCGGGAGCCTCTTAGTTCAGGCTCGCCCCAGGAAACACCTTAGCACCGACGTAAGAGTCTTAACCACCCGCCTTAGCTTCACATAGTCCATTTCATGATCTATACACTATCGAGCAATAGTATCGGTAATATCTCGTCATTCCCGCTTCAAGATATCTTACCTTGCTGTGTTGGGGCATTTCCCGGTGCTTAAAAGTGGGTTATGAGAGAATCCTGATTGAAGCATTCAGCTCGCCCGAATACCGGCTTTGTTTTTTTTCTTTTTCAAATAAGAGTTTGTTGAAGAAATTCTAAGCACAGCAATAGAATACACTGGTTTTGTTCTCTTCCTACTACGTCCGCACAGCCCCTCTATCTCAATAAGGCTTCGCACCAGCTAGTTTCACCAAGCGATCACTGAGCACAGGCTTCTTTAACGGCTCCCCGCGTTCCCCGGGGCACTGTTGGCCATCGCGGATAGCCTTTCCTTGACCACAGATTTTGCAGTGAGGCCAATGAGTAGCAGCTTCGTACTAGTGGAACAGTTCTGACCTGAGAGCCAGATCTTCAGGTGCAACCAAAGATGCCCAGGTACTGGAATGTTGGGCTAAATGCTGTTGGGGACCGGACACGCAGAAGCGCGCGGCCATACAGTCTTTCTGCCTTACACTTGGTCTTCTGCCCACACCTCCGGATCGATACTCGGCGTCCAGGGACACAGTTTCAACAAGTGGGTCACAGATCAAGAATTGATTTCATCTACAATCATTCGAACAGATACATACCTATCTATTAAGAAGTACAACTAAACCTTACGAATCGGAAAACTTGTCTGCTTTGTCAAACTTCTCTTTTGGGTCTTACGGAGACAAAGTAGCGTTTCGCACCAGTAGGGTTCGATGATTGCCCCAATGAAACGAGTAAACAAATCCAGGAATTCTTGGTCAACGAATCGACATTAGCCCTCGAACTATGCAGGTTGTGTTGCTGCCTCTAAAATTGCCACGAGAAGAATAATGATGTGGTAAGCAGGTAGGCAGGTGCCTGATATGATGGTAGGCAGGTACCTACATCATATCAGGCACAGAAAGTGCATTTGGCTCGTCTGAGATTTCAATGCCGCGGTGGTTCAGCAGCTCCCATGGTGCAACTTTTGGAGCGATTGACGTTCATAGAGACTTCAACATGATCTAGCACACTATGCAGAAATGGATGATGAATCCTTTGTGTACACTCAATCTCAGGGGCCTTGGATCAGTGATGCTCGTAGGAATGGGCTGTTGCTGCTCGTGAACCACAATAAGGACAACAACAACATTACACAAATTGAACTTAATATAGCATATTTGGCATTGTATTCGTTTATTTGGGCGCATCTTGCACCACTCCGACTTCATCTTTCCTCGCAAGTGTAGATAACATCATGTTGACTGACCAGTGGAAGGGACGCGCCGTGCTTATGTAGGGTCGAAAAGTCACCCACAAGGCCGCACTAGCAACGAACATGCCCGAACGAGTCGCTACACCCTATCCCTTTAGATATAGAGCGTAATCGCCGTAGTTTTGCATTCTGTTATATGATAAAACTCATTTAGACATAGAGTCCTATTTTGTCAGGTCTTTTCAGCCCCTGTTTTTCCCAATTGTCCATCGCCTGCTCAAACAGCCCCGCCTACTCTTCCTTAGCAGGTTGCGGATTGGGTTTTCCCCTTTTCAGTCGACTCTCCACCGTCTCAATGAGCCTAGCCTCCGTATCTGTATCCTTCATGACGTCCCTTTCGAATTCGTAAGATCGGACCTCGCAGTTCCGCCATCCAGTTCCAGGGTTCAGCCATGAGTCCTCCCAATCATCGGTGAAGTAGTGCAGAAAACCGCCGTGCGTTACGAGCGCAACTTCAGGGTCTGTATCACCTTGCTCGATCAGTTGTCGGATCTTCTGTCGGATAAAGATGCGGGCGTCGCGGGCGCGGGCTGCTATAGCGCTGCTTTCTGGGCTATAGCGAGTCCCTAAAGTCTTGTCGTTCCAGATGTCGTTGACTAGGGAGAGGTCGACGGGCCACTTGCTCTCGGCTACAACTCGGCGGAGGACTGATGGATCAGTGCCGACATCGCACGGGTCATCCGAGGTTTCTTGAGCGTCGGGAATAGCGATAATCTCAGGGTGACACTTATTGCTGGCCACGAGGGCAGGCTGAAACACCAAATTGACAGATTGAAGTGTTCGGCAAAGCGGAGAAGAGAGGATAAGAGATATCTTTGACTGATCTGAGAAAGTGGTCTTGCGCAAAAGCAAGCTCTGCTCTTCACCCAAGGGAGTCAGGCGAGGATCAGGAAGAGTGTAACATCCGGAACCAACGTTGTGAAAGCCCTGTCCATGGCTGACACAATGTATCACTGGTGACATTGTAGAAGGTGTAAACGATGTGTTTCGGAGTGATACACAATACTGAATAGTGTGAACAGCGAAGCTACTGGCAAGACTGCAGTTCATGAGAGATAAATACCGGCCTGGGATTACAAATACGCCTGGATTTCCAATCCCAGCTGACAAAGGCTTCATGTTGCCACAGCACAATTCAAATCCCAGCTGACACTTGATGTTATCACAACACAAATTGACAAGTAAAGTGTAGCCGTTGTCCATCGCGGTTGAATCTCGAACCAATCAGTATGCTGGTAGATAGATTCAGCTAGTCCCAAATAAGCAGCCAAGACGCATGTCGTGCATAAGCGTCACATCTTGACGCCTCTTTTGGAAGCTTTACAGACCTCAGTGATCGGGATCGTAATGAACATAGTAATTTTCAACTTCATTCGTCCGTAATGAGGATAGTTGATAGGTCGCTAGGAAATCCGAACCGGTCATGATTTTATCATTTGTTAGTAGGAAACTTGACAATCAGTGGTAAGGACAAACAGATACAGGCCTACTCGGCGAGACGGCTGCGCGGACTAGGTACAGGCACGTATTAGCCAGTGCCTGCACAACATTTAAACCCCTTAAAAGCTGTTGGCGGTGAACTCAGGCTACCATTCAATTTCAATGATCCGAAAGTTTACATCTTCGGGAGTTCCGATTACAAATGAGATGGTGATTTACTAGACAATCATTTGTTTTAAGACGTGCTGCCCTCGTCCTTTCCTAGCCAAGTTTCTGTTCGTTATCTTACATATCTGTGCAAATTCATGATCTTATATCTACAAGAAAATGACACAACCATCGTTACGTTCATTGCTGCCTCAGCGGATCTTCAGCAACACCTCCGCAACATCGAAAATCCCGGCGGGGGATTGTAGCCCCGGGGCTCAAGCTCAAGGAATTGATCCTCCACCAAGCGACAACCCTTCTCCGGATCGCCATGATATCGCGGTATCCAGGCCCGAAGTTGACGAGTCCCTCCAAGTACGAATTGAGCGTCTCGGTCGCGAGCGCCCTCCGATATTTACAACCCGCTGGAGCGAGATAATATTCGTCTTCAGCATCTCCATGTCCCAATTCCTGACAGAATACTTCGTCTCGGGCTTCACCGTCATCCTCCCAACACTGATCAGAGAGCTCGACATCCCGCAAGCAGCCAGCGTGTGGCCAGCGACCGCTTTCTCCCTTGTCATCGCCAGTAACTTGCTCGTTTTTGGCCGTCTGGGCGATATGTGGGGTGGATATCCCGTCTTCATATGGGGCCTTGCCTGGCTTCTTGCCTGGAGCATAGTAGCCGGGTTCAGCATTAATCCGCTGATGCTCGACTTCTGCCGGGCTCTCCAAGGGCTAGGGGCTGCGGCGTTCTTACCTACTGGTGTTATGCTGATGGGTTCCTTGTATCGCCCTGGACCACGCAAAAACCTCGTCTTTGCAGTATACGGCACTTCAGCGGTATTAGGATTTTTCGGTGGCATTCTCGTGGCAGGGATCGTGGGGCAATTCAAGCGCTGGGGCTTTTACTTCTGGATCGGGGCCATTTTGACGGCAATTACGCTGTTAACTTCAGTCTTGTCTATTCCGCTTCCTCATTCAAAGGACCAGCCCGCGAAAGACCAACCCCCAACCAAAGCCAAAATGGACTACCCCGGCGCCATCACGATTGTCTGTGGCCTCACTCTGGTGGTGTTTTCCATCTTGCAATCAGCACACGCCCCTGCAGGTTGGAGAACGCCATATATTCCAATCTGTCTCATACTCGGTGTCGCGTCACTCCTTGCGGCAGTCTACGTCGAAACGCGCATCTCTACTCAGCCTCTCCTGCCAGCTTCGATCTTTACTACCCCTTGCATGAGCCCTCTCCTTTTGGCCCTCTTTCTGCTTTACGGCACATGGGGTATCTTTTCCGTATACGGCACACTCTACTTCCAGAACATCATGTCTGCCAGTCCGTTGCAGGTGGTAGCGTGGTATGTGCCTCTCGGTGTTACAGGCCTCATTCTCAGCATCATCGAAGGCTTCATTTTGCACCTGGTTCCAGGGCGTGCGCTGTTATCATTTCCGGTCTAGGAGCCGTAGGGTCACAACTTCTCATAGCTCTGATTCCCCTTGGAGGAAGTTATTGGGCATGGGTCTTCCCTGCAGTCATCTTCAGCACCGTGGGAATCGATCTGTCTACGATCTTGATGACAGTTTTCGTGACCACAACCTTTCCTACATCACAGCAGGGGCTGGCTGGAAGTGTTGTTAATTCTGTGCTGCAGCTAGGTGTAGCTTTCGTTCTTGCTTTGACGGACATCTTCCAGTCAGCAACGGTAGATGAAGCAGGATTGGGGAAGAGTTACAAGAACACATTCTGGTTTGGAGTGGGCGCTGCAGCCACGAGCCTGTTGATTCTGGCGATCTGGGGAAAGGTACCTAAGGCCAGTAGTGATTTGACCGCGGACGAGAAGGCTGAACTCCTGAAAGAGGCAATGGCTGAGCACGAAAGGCAATCGGCCAACAGAGATGGTACTCCGCGAGGTGCATGAACCTACATTAGACGTCTGCTCACAATCCTTTACTAGCTAGACCAGGTGGTTATAAACTCATGATTATTACCCAGTGGGTGATCTCAGATTATAGTAGTCTCCTATGTAGTTCAGGTCAGCGGGCAATGGATCTCTACCAACCCAATGATAGATCATCCGGCATCACCCTACAATCATGCAATCAACCAGTCGATGCCCATATTCTTCAGTTTGTGGATCCAAGTCCAATTCTCTTCCTCTTCGCAGAATTGGTTATTGTTGCTTGTTACGAGATTCGCGTTTCTCCTCCCATCCCATATGGTTCTCAATGCTTCGAGAGCATCTCTGGTAACTCCCCAAGGCTCCATTTCCCAGAGCTCTTGGAATCTCCTCACTACCCAAGCATGATTCGCAGGGTCAGCCGTTTCAAGGCCAGCAATGAAAGCCGGCCAAGCTGTTGCTGTGAATAATGCATCTCCTGGGTGCATATTTGAAAGATGGGTGATGATTTCGGCGGCTAGGACTTCCAGATCATCTGGTAATCCTGTACTTGGCCACAGAGCGAGGATAATACGAGAGAGATAAACACACACAGCCGCCTTATGTGCAGAGGCAATTATAGTCCGATGAAGGAGGTCGTCAGCAGGGGAGCGTGGCTGTAAAGTGATGGCCCAGACAGCTGGGTCAAACGACTTCGCGGCCTGTAAGAGATGAAGCGCATCTTGCTGTCCTGAATTGATCAAGCTACCCGGAAACATGGAAACGTCGTTCATCTTCAATAGCTCAGCCCCTGCCTGTATCAAAGGAAGGAGGGCTGCCGGAAACGACGAGCAGTGGTTGCCTTCTGCATCTTGAAGCAGTGACATAGTAGTCGTCGATAGCCCACCGCTGTGCGGTAGGTGAGAATTCGCGAATGATGATCCAAGAAGATCATACCTAGTGCATGTCAAATCAGAAGCCATCAATTACTTGAAAAGATGACTTACACCAAACAGTTTGACACCAGCCAGCTGCGGAGCGGGCTCAGAGCAGTTGCTGTCTCCGGACCGAATGCGATCAGCTTCTCAATGATCGTTCTCGCACCATTGATGTGGAATATCCAGCGGCTCCGCCCAGAGTCAATGAGCTCGAACCCAATGAGGAGAAGTACCACCGCGAGAATCACATCAACATCCACTGAAGCCATGTTCTCGAGGGCAGACTTCAGCAGGCAAAGTGCCCGCTGCTTGGCTCTAAGTGCATCTTGGAAAGTCTCCGGGTGAGATGTCGTGTACGGGCCGATCGATAGAGAGCCCGCCAAGCTTGTGCTGCTTTGAGTCGGGGCCCTCGTTGTTAAGGTGCTCAAAGAACTTGATGACCGTTGACAGGCGTTTGACATGTGCAAAGCTGAACTGGCGATAATCGCCTGCAACATTATGGGCTGCTGGTACGCCATCGCAATGAGGTGGCGGAACGGATTATCATTGGGGGTGTCATAGAGAACAAAGTCCCTACAAACATCGCTTGCAACTTTCAACCAAGAATGTTAGTATGAACAGCAGCCAAGCGGGTGAAGGTAGCATACAATAGTTCAGATATCTCCTCGCTCGATAATCTAGATCTTGCGCAAGCGGGTCTATGAGCGAGCGAGGAGAGTTCGGCTTCGAGCTTGCGAACGGGGGCTGGTTTGCAGACACGATAGGAGGCCATGCCGCTTGTAGAGTCGAGGTGGTATCTCCCCTCTGAATCTTGTTCATGTTGGCGGATGTAACACCAGCCATTTTCCCACGACTCGCCATGCCAGTTTCCCACCGTAACAGAACGCCATAGCCTAGACAACTTTGACCCTTACTGGTGCATTTCAGGCAGTGCGGAAGGGATCGGTCACACTTCAAGCGGCTGCGCCTACAGTTGTGGCATGCTCTCGGCTTTGCACTCATGGCCAGGCTGTAGTATGGAATGGATAAAAAGGACAAAAAGTCGATTCGTACTTGGATAAAAATGGGGTCATTAGTGATGATGTGTGTTGTATTGTGCCCTCACGAAATCAGGCGCTAGTGTTGAAAGCCTTTCTAAGGCGGTCATCCAGGGGCATTAGTCAGCCACGTCAAGCGCAAAACGCCCCCTAGTACATTACGTGCGTAGGGGGCGAGAGCGCTGTCATCTCCGTGTAGATAAGATAGGGGAGTGGTATTTCCAGCAAACCGGACTCTTGAAGATCTTAACAAGGATTACCGCAAATCGTGCTTTACAATGTAAGATGTACTTGATGATACTGATGATGCAAACAAAACATAAGCGAACCGTCCTGCGGCTAGTGAAGTAGTCTTGTTGAAATATTTCCGGCAATTAGACACGAAATGCTGTATGTCAACCTGGAGACTACGGGATGATGGCATGGTAGGCGCGCACACCACCCGCGGTTCTCTCTGGCTAGGAAATGGGTCCAAGGAGAGAGTAATGCACAAACCAGAGATCCAATCTGAGTAGGAATTTCGGCGCCGAAGATTGCAGAATGAAACGTGATTGACTTCAAATTCCTCAAAACCGAGAAACAATCCACGTAAGGTTGGCTTGAACGAAAGTGATTTTACCGCATAGGTCTCCAAAGACCATGTGCTGCTCTATGTGTGAGTTCGTCTTCTAGTATCTACTCTAGAACACCCTCTATCATAACCTTAAACACATCCGGTCTTCCAGCCTTAACCAACTCGAACGCCTCCTCGGCCTGCTCAAACTTGTACCTATGCGTTACCAATCTCTTGACATCAATCTTGCCACCAGAAAGAAGCTCAATCGCAGCTGGGTAGCTACCGGCCTTGTACCTTATCGAGCCCTTGACGCATAGCGCCTTTGTGCAGACTGCAGTGATTGGGAAAGCAACTACGTCTTTGCCCATGCCCGCCTGCACAAACGTTCCGCCCTTCTTCGCCGCAAACACGCCGAGCTGTATACAAGCCTCCGCACCAGAGCACTCAAGCACTACATCGGCGCCATCTCCCAGACCCAACTCCTCGTTCATCCTCGCAGCGATAGTCTCTGCATGAGCCATCGGGTCAACGCCCTCTCCAGCGCGAGGAGGGGTGTACGTCGCGTCGGTGCCGTAGCTCCTGGCGACTTCGAGTCTTTTCTCTACGACGTCAACCCCGACAACCTTGCCGGCGCCCCAAAGCTTCGCCACGGCTTGACACAGGACTCCTATGGGGCCACATCCCAGAACGAGCACAGTCTGGTGCGGTCTCAGATCAGCCGTCTCGCAGATTGCACACGCCACCGAAAGAGGTTCCACCATGGCCGCCTCTTCCATGGATACGCTATCAGGGACCTTGTAACAGAAGTCCGAGGCGTTGATGTAGTACTTGGCCAGTGTACCGTCGATGGGGGGCGTTGCGGCGAAGATCATGTTCGGGCAGATGAAGTAGCTGCCGTTGCGGCAGTAGCTACACCGACGACAAGGAACGCCGGGCTCCATGGCGACTCTGTCACCGGGCTTGAGATGCGTGACGTGTTCGCCGACTTCGACTACGACGCCTGAAGATTCGTGGCCGAGGACCATGGGGCCTTTGACAACGTACTCGCCAATCCGGCCCCGTTGCCAGCTGAACAATTTATTAGATTTGCATTTACTGAGAGGGTCACAGGAGCTTGGCTTACTAGTGGACGTCGCTACCGCAGATACCGGTTTGTGAGACATGGACGAGAACATCATGGCCGTCTTTGAGTTGAGGCTTGGGCCTGTCTTCGATGACGACCTTTTTGATGTCTTTGAGAACAAATGAAGGATTCTGAGAGATGTTAAGATGGCAACTGAAGACTCGACAGATACAACACGTACCTGCATGTTGATGGATCTCACTGTCTGCGTCTGGTTGATGTGCAATAACTGTCTTAACCCATTTCCAACGTAAACGGCCCCTTTATGCCAGAACTACCCGGGTTTATGGGGCACGGCGTACTCTATTCATTGCTCAAAATATCAGTTATTTCTCAACATATGATACTCAAAGAACCACTCGCATCGTCAATGCTGTGGCCCTCGTGACGGTTAGCAACGTCTTTGTGGGTAGGGTGGCGCGTAAACTTCCTAAAACGGAAACTTTGACGACGATGCGGTCGTCGTCACATCGACTGCCATGAAACCGCCCCATTAAGCAGGCGCCAAGGTCTAGATTCCAACCGAGAATCCCACGACTTCGCGAAAAGTGGAAGTCTTCGATATCTGGGTTAGATTGTTCTTCATTTTCCCAAAAGCCCTTTTCCCCAGTGGCCCCGCCGTTTCATGGCTCGGTACGTCATAGGTCTCTTGATAGACGGTCAGTATTCCTAGTCTTGTCTGTTGTGACCGCCCCATGAAATCGGATTCACTATTTTTACACTGTTTATTATCTTGCCAGGGAAAGAGATTCACGTCCAACACCCCACTCCTGAAGCAAAGATTCGACTCGGTACCCTGTGACAATTCCAAGATCATCTTCGATCTCCCGGAGCATGCCAACCAACCTATTCCTATCCTCGGTCTGGGTGCAGCACCTCCCTGCAACATACAGGGGCTGAATGGCACGAAGTCTGACTGCATCGCAAGGAGTCCCACGCACAATGGAGATGACCTCGGACGCGTGACCTTGTAGTTTATGTTCCACGTCACGAAACGCCCGCAAAAGATCAAACGAGGTACGACCTCCGACGGCAGCGTCTCCCGGAAGCAGTTCTGATGGACGGTGAATCAGCAGAAGCATGCACGCCATGTGATAGTACATCATCGTGGTAGCACATAGGTCGTTGCTGAACCAAAGTTCACGACTGAAGAGGTCGGGTGCGGTCTCGCTTGAACCCCTATCCGTGAAGAAAGTGCCGTCCGCAAGGAAAGACGGGGATATCGTCTGAAACCAGGCTTGGAAATGGTCTTCAAGTGACATGAAAGCCAATCTTGGTTGAATCAGCATTGTCTCAAGATGTGACGACGGTACTAGATAGTTGATCAGTTTGCACAAGTATCGTATCAGAGTGTAGGATAAAGCTTTATCCCTCGCGTGTTCCGCTGTGTTTGCAAGGCTGTTTGGGCTAGCGCCTGTGGTCAGACTCCCATCATCTTCAATCAAAAGACCCATGTTACGCCAGAGAGCGAGATTCTCTGTATCAATACGTGTTCTTCTGTGTGATACGACTGGAGAATGGGTTAACGAGGGCCCGGAAACAAACCGGTATTTGCTTCACTTACAGGATTCCTCGAGGTCGTTCACAACAAAGTTCCAAAATCCGGCCTTGACTTGCATGATGTCTTTCGTAAACGGATAGACTGCCTCGAACATGGGGTCGGGATGGAGTAGCCGTCCATCGTCGATGAGATCGAGCAGCTTGGAGAAACCGAACAAGTGGCCAGACCACGCGTCTCTATTGGCACTTATTTGCTCATACTGGATTAAGATGCAAGTCCCGAGGAGTCTTACGATGGGGTCCTCTCCATCTGCTCGTATCATGAGATTCCCCTGCGACAGTGACGTCGGCGGTGAGGCATAATTCTGGGCGGGGTGTTCTGAAGTGATTGACTTCACTAGCGTTTGTATCGCCTTCTCATAGTATTTCGCCCCATACCACATCAGCCCCAGTGGACCGCGCTGGAGTTTAGCGGCAATTCCCTGTTGAGTCTTGCCGGTAATAATTGTCGACAAGGGACTTCGCATCTGGCCAAGTTGTTTGGCGGCAACGGCACAGGCTGCGTAGCGGAGTATCGGGTGGTCTCGGGCTAAGGTCAAAACTTCCCGGCTGAAGACTTCATAACGATAAAGCAGATCCATCCTGTGTTGACATTTCAGCAGCTAGACTCATAGGCCAACTTCGTATTGGATTACGCACCATGGGGCTATGCACTCTGAGTAGTGTCTAAGGAGGAATAGTTCTTCTTGAGTATTTCTGAGAGGGTCAACCGCAGATGCTTCAAGCTGTGCAGGCGAGCCTTCGAGATGAACTTCGAACCCCACACTTAGATGGTCTTGTTCCAGGTGCGGGTCGTCGGTAGTTGGGGAGGGTTGTCCTTCTCCGGCTCCGTCAATAGTCGCTGGTTCACTGTCATTGCGGGCGTCGTCTGCATCGATTGTTTCTTCTCGATAGACGCTAGTATTGACTCGTGAGCCAGACGCAGGTAAGTTCACTGCACTCACTGCTTAGCCTATCAGCAAAAGACAGCCGTAAATGAAGGGTTCAGTTGTTTACCGGCTTCATCATTCTGAAGTGGGGCATTTGACGCCGTCTCGGATGTGACAATCACGTTGTTGGCATCTGCTTGGTCACCTTGGACCGAGTCATTGAACCGAATCGATAGTTCGTGTTGCCTGAAAATCGAATCTTGGATTCGACAGTTGCGATTCGCCTTCCGGCAGTGACCACACTGGGGTTGCTGCTCGTCACACTTGATCTTGCGTCTGCGGCATTCTGGGCTGCATGTCAATCAGCAGATGCCATGCGCCGTCCAGCGAATCACGCATGCACTTACCAGCCTTTCCGTGATCGCTTTCTTCCCCGCATTCGTTCTGAGTGTCTGGCTCCGCTGCTTGGCAATGGCATTGGTTGATCTCGAAAGCGTTCAACGAAGACGTTGTCAGTCGCACAAATTTCTGGATTCGGTAGTTTAGGGTTGAAGTCAGTCAAAAAAAAGCCGGGCAACTAAGAAACCCGCCGTCTACCTACTCATCAGTGCAGTCAACCTCGCGTAGGAAAACAACGCGTAATCTTCCTAAAACCGTTAGCGCGTTTCTCCGAAGTTGGCTCCTCTCCCCCTGAACACATTATTGATGCATGGTCTACCCGGCATCTGATCACTGACGCAAGGCCGACCCCACGGGGAAGACGTCGGGCCATTTCGCTTTATTCCGCTCAGTCTTTACCCCGGATTTGTGCCGTAAAAGTATATTTATATATTTGAACAGAAACCTATTGAGGCTAATGATGGCTGGTCATGCTGAAGCCTTCCGCTAAGCAGCAATCATCCCAAACTTGAAATCTGGACCCTCGAAGCCAACGACTATGGTCACCTCAACAAGAAAGCAGCCGTATTTTGGGCTCACTGGAAAATGGCTCACATATTGGATCACCTTCGCCTGTTCAACAGACATGCTTCTGTTTGGCTATGATCAGGCGTCAGTCGTGACCCCCTAACAAGGCACACCCCAACTAAAGCAATTCTGACAATGAAGAAACAGGTCCTTCAGCGGTGTCATTGTGACCGACAACTTCCTCGAGGTGCATGATTTAGTTGGCCCGGAGAAGACACAAATACTCTCGACCGTCACTGCAATTTACGATATTGGATGCTTTCTCGGGGCCATTGTCGCCTTTACAATCGGCGAGCGACTCGGCAGAACCAAATCCATCATCGTAGGCACGGCAATCATGACCATCGGGGCTATCTTGAAATGCACATCGTATAGCCTGGCACAGATGTTCGTTGGCCGTATCATTTTGGGGTAAGTATAAAGGGATGAAGTTGCGCTTTCACTTATTTGTCCATCACACCTACTAATTACTTCGTCAACCGCAGAGTTGGAAACGGTATCAACACAGCCACCGCCCCGATCTGGCAGACCGAGACAGCACCTGCACATTGGCGAGGCAAGTTGGTCATGTTCGAGATGATGATGAACATCGCGGGCTTCTCCTTATGCAACTGGATCAATTACGGCCTCTCCTTTGCCGGCGGTGCTGTTGCCTGGCGATTTCCGCTTGCCTTCCAGTTCGTCTTCATCATTGCGCTATTCGCAACGGTGCCTTGGCTTCCTGAATCTCCCAGATGGTTGATGTCACATGGGCGAGAGGCAGAGGCAACTGAAGTCTTAGCCTGCCTTGAGGCAAAGCCGCAAGATGACGTGTATGTTGTTTCGCAGAAGGAAGAGATCCTCTTCAGCATAAACTACGAGCGAGAGCATCAAATCAGATGGCGAGATCTTTTGCGGCCACAGCCTGAGGCGACCAAACCACTCCGACGACTCATCTTGGGAGCTGGAACCCAATTCATTCAGCAGTTCGAGGGTAAGTGATACTTTACAGCTTCTTCACAGCTACTGATAGCGTCAAGGAATCAACATCATGTCTTATTACCTCCCTACCGTTTTGATCACCGCTGTAGGACTGCCGACCGAGCTAGCTCGACTGCTAACCGCTGTCAACTCCGTGACCTACCTCATCTTCTCATGCGTCTCGATTACGCTTGTGGAGAAATGGGGTCGAAGAGGATTGATGCTCATCTCAACTGCAGGACAGGGCTTGTCTTTCCTAGTCATCACCATTCTACTTAGATTCGGTGAGGCGGGAGGCAACCGGAAAGCAGCAGAAGGGTCTATCGTATTTTTCTTTTTGTACTACATTGCTTTTGGAGTGGGCATGCTGGGGATTCCTTGGCTTTACCCTACCGAGATCAACTCCATCGCTATGCGTACAAAGGGTGCTGCTGTAGCAACTGCTACAAATTGGTAAGATACTTCCTATGGCTGGGAAGGAATAAAAATGAGCTGATGATAATTCCAGGATCACGAACTATGTGATCGTTCAGATCACACCCATTGGCATTCAAAACCTGGGTTGGAAATTCTGGATCGTCTTCACTGTCTTGAATGCCGCCTTCCTACCCGTCATCTACCTATTTTATCCGGAGACAGGTATGTTTGGATCACAGAAGTAACAATGGTAGCGTCATCTAACGTGGTGTTTCTAGCAAACCGGACGCTCGAAGATCTTGACGAGTACTACCGCAACAACCCTCCACTCGTTGTCATCGGTGATAAGGATGCCATTGGAACCAAAAGACCTCAGAAGTATGTCGACCACGAGGAAGCTCAAGTGGAACGTGTCGCCCACGAAGACGGCGTCACTGAAGCGGCAGACAAGAAGACATCACGGACTGAAGCACGTCATGTGGAGTGAGCGGTGAATGGAGAAGTGAAGTATTTTACCGTACGGGTTGAAGCTTATCTAAAGGTTATGGCAATGAATGAGGTGTACATTGTGTGAATCATTTTCTACGAAGTGACTTTCAGAAAGTAATGTGAATTCTTTTCAATGAATCGCAAGTCTCCCTCAAGCGAATCAGACTCGTAGTCTACATGCGGCTTTTTGAAAGAAGAGAACAGTCCGCTTCATGCAATGTAAGATCTGAGCCTACTACATTGGCAGGCTGCTGGAAACAAAATCATAGACATAGATGTGAATGATCTATGTGTAGATAGCATAGCGACTTTTCGATTCCTGCAAATATGCATGTGCGCGATGCCATGGCCAATACTGAGGCTTACCATATGCTTTCTCTGTCTATCTCGAGGTAGGTTCTCTATGGATGTCAAAGTGATTCTGGGTCTACGGCACAGCTCCCCTCCGTCGCAAAGGTTAAGATAACGACAAGTTCACCCAATTTGTAAGCTTTGGGAATCACAGTATGCGGACACTTTGACCTATGCGGCTATGCCCTCCCTCATTCAAGAAAACCGGCACGGGCAACCTATTCGATTGGATTGCACTGCTGGCGTAGATCCTCGTATTTATGTCAAAGTATATCCTCCATCAACGATGATATCCGCCCCCGTCATATAACAGCACGAATCACCGGCCAAGAACACATAAATCTTCATCTTGTTAGCAATAAGGCAGAATACTGCGCGAGATGTTTGAATAACTCACGCCTTTGAGTTCCGATGCGTCGGCCATTCGTTTGCCAGGAATCATCTCCATCCATTTGTCGAAACGCTCTTTCGGTTGAATGTACAACACTACAACACGTTAAAGTCTGAAATACCAGTCTTTGCGAATGGCAACTCACTGTCAGTCTCGATGAATCCAGGAGACACGCAGTTGACTCGGGCGAAATCCACCCATTCGACAGCCAAGCTCTTTGCCAGATGCACAGCTGCCGCCTTGGAAGAATTATACGCAGCCTGCCTCTGGGGGATGTTGACGAGAGTTGCGCTGACTGACGTCGTGATGATCAGGTTTCCACGCCCCTGCTGCTTGAAAATCTTTCCAGCAGCTTGAGCAGTCCACATGACACCGTCGAGATTGACACTGTTGTTGTCTTTCCACGTCTCCTCAGTATATTCCAGACTGGGGATATCGGCACAGACGCCAGAGTTGGCAACCATGATATCCAATCGTCCAAAGTCAGCGACGATCTGGTCAACAGTTGCAGCTATTGAGGCACGGGATCGCACATCGCTCTGGTAAGCCACGACTTTGACACCGGTATCTTTAGCGATTTGGCTCGCCGTCTCTTCGGCCTGTTTGTTGGTTGCATAGATAAGAGCAACATCGGCGCCGGCCTCAGCTAGACCTTTGACGATCTCCAGGCCGATGCCTCTGGCGCCGCCAGTGACTGCAGCAACCTTGCCTTTCAGGGAGAACTGCGAAAGCACAGGTGCAGAGGGATTGGGTGGTTTGTACAGGGGCATAATGGGCAAAGTTTCTCTGTTGGATGTCGATGTCAAGTAAGTTTTCTCGGTGGTAGAGCCGCGTAGTGGTGAGATTGAGGAATAAGTACCTAGTTGAATGTTGTTACACCGGCCCGCTTGCAAAAATAGGTGTCAGGAAGTCGACAAAATGCTTCACAGGTTGCGAGGCGGTCGAGAGTTCCCCCACACAGTGACGCCAATATTGCCCAATTAGGCATATTTTGCGGCCTCCAAGTGCGGGGTGCACCACCATGATCGCACCCCCTCCACCGATCTATCAACGGGCAAGCAAGAAATGTTCGCGTGACATCAATTGGTGGGGCCTTTAGTGCTTCAAATATCCGTTCATGTACGCTGAGCTCTGTGGGTTGGACAGTCTTGTGATCACCTTCCCATATTTGCTTTCCATCCCTCATGACATTTCTCATTACATTGGTTGCTGCAGTCCGTTCCTGCAAAGTCTATTGAACCGAAATGTCACCCGATGAATCATCCGCCCCGACTTTGACACTACCTAATATCGGGATTCATATTGACCCAGACCATAATCTTTGGCTGGACAAAGCCGCACCCACTCTCGAGGACGTCAAATCTAGAGCAAGCTTACAAGCCGGAGAAGTAACAGTTGCTGTGAAAACTACAGGCATATGCGGGTAAGTACAACTGACATTCGACGAACCCGAATGTAGAATATCGAGACAATACATCTTATGTATCGAATCCAGTAGTCCATCAAATCTGTCCATCAGGTCTTACCAAAGTTCATTGAGCTAACCTCCAAATCACTAGATCTGACGTCCATTTCTGGAAGCATGGTGGCATTGGTCCGTGGCAAGTCAAAGGTCCGCATATACTTGGTCACGAATCAGCCGGCGTGGTTGTCGCGGTACACCCTACGGTCACTCGTCTGCAGCCAGGCGATCGAGTTGCTATCGAGCCTCATATTATTTGCAACTCATGCGAGCCTTGCCTAACAGGAAGGTACAATGGCTGCAAGAATTTGCTCTTTCGATCAAGCCCGCCGTCTCATGGTCTTTTGCGACGATACGTCAACCACCCTGAAGTCTGGTGCCACAAGATTGGGAGTCTGTCGTTCAACGAGGGTGCTCTCCTTGAACCCCTGAGCGTCGCACTGACTGGAGTGACTCGGTCAGGGGTCAAGATCGGTGACCCCGTCCTTATATGCGGCGCTGGCCCCATCGGCTTGATCACGCTCGATGTCTGCCGAGCAGCAGGCGCATATCCAATCGTAATCACAGACATCGATTCTTCTAGGCTGGACTTCGCCAAGACGATCATGCCTGAGGTCATCGTTCACAGAGTACAGAAAGACGAGACCCCCGAAGACTTCGAAAAGGCCGTCAGAAAGTCACTAGGAGAGAGTGTTGAAATCGCCGTCGCATTGGAATGTACAGGTGTGCAGAGTTCAGTCTGTAACGCAATACAGACCGTCAAATTTGGGGGAAAAGTCTTCATTATCGGTGTAGGGAAGGAAAAGATGGAGATCCCCTTCATGCGATGCAGTGCGAATGAGGTGGATATCCAATTCCAGCAGCGGTATGTCAATATGTGGCCAAGAGCGATAAGAGTGATGGCGAGTGGAATGGTGGACTTGAAGCGGCTTGTAACACATACGTTCACTTTGGAAAATGGGATTGAGGCGTTCAAGACTGCATCTGATCCCCACAGTGGATCGATCAAAGTGTTGATCCAGTCTTAAAATAGGTAGCAAGGGTGAATTGACTTCGTTTGATTTTGCGCCCTTCGTATTTATGATTAGAAGATGTCTTTTGCTCTAGACCTTCGAAGCTCTGCTAAGCACAGTTGGTACACTGGCCCATTTACCGGCGAATTGTTGTATGAATTGCAGGCGGTTTTGGCACAGGCAATCAACCACAGGGCGCGCCCTGCGGGTCTGTAGGAAGGGTGCCCTATGGTACTGACTTGCATCCACTAATGGGGTTGGTATCCATCTCTGGTAGTCCACCAGATCAAGATTTCCTGGCTAGGCCATGGCATGCGTGTCCGGCCGGCCGGTTATATTTGGACGACCTCCAATGTTTATCGACGATCTTTCAACATTTACATACGACTCTGGTCCAAAACGATATTTACACCTGGCCCTGCTTCTATTACCGGCATTGACTGACATCATGGTTAAACTCGAATTCTTCGCTGTGGATCATGTAAGTCTGATGCACTCCAGACGCACGCAACGACACTCACAGTTCGTATTAGTGGCTTGCCGAGCGATCAAAGTCTGCCCATCACAACCTAGCTCATACCTCAGCGCACCCAGTATCTATCTCAGAGCTTGAATCAATTGCTAGTAGAGAGAACCACGACGACTTCCTCCCTTCTCTTCTATCTCAGCCTCTCGACTACCCTGCAGATTTTGCCGGCCTGCCCTCCCTGCGGAAGAAGATCGCGAAACTGTATTCAGATGACTTGCCATTTGTAAATGTATTGACGACCGCCAGCGGATCCCTTGCCAATTTCATTGTTTTCTATGCTTTGATTGGCCCCGGGGATCATGTCATCGTCACTTCTCCTGGTTATCCCCAGCTGCAAGCTGTCCCGGGCTCGTTAGGTGCAGAAGTGAGCTATTGGAAGGCCAAGGCCAATGACAAGTGGAGCTTCGACCCCAAGGAGCTAGAAGGACTTGTTAAGGCGAACACCAAAATGATCGTGATCAAGTGAGTTTGGCTCATTAGCGAAATGCTAAGACTTGAACTAATCATGGGAACTAAAATACAGCAATCCTCTCAATCCCCTGGGAACTGTCCTCTCCGACGTAGAACTGCGCAAGATCATCGAGATTGCTTCTAAACATTCTATCATCGTGTTTTCCGACGAGATCTACCGGCCGATTTTCTACCCCTCAGATGGCGACAGATATGATACTCCGCCTTCCATTATCTCTTTAGGCTATGAAAATACGATAGCCACATGCGCCCTATCAAAGAGCTATTCCCTTGCGGGAATCCGCATCGGTTGGTTGGCGTCCCATAGCCGAAACATCATTGAACTTTGCGACAATGCTCGGGCTTATTGCCTCATTACAACAAGCCAGTTGGATGAACGCGTTGCCGATTTCGCACTGCATTCAAAACGCTCCGCCGCCATCATACAGCGGAATATTTTGCAGGCAGAGAGGAACAAGTTCATCGTGCAAGCTTTTATTGACAAATATCCCGATATTTGCAGTTGGGTTGCACCTGCAGGAGCAGCCATGGGATTCATCAAATTCACGCGAGAAGGAAAGCTGGTGGATGATGTAAATCTGTGTAAAATGCTTCATGAGGAGGAGGGAGTCCTTCTAGTCCCAGGAACCTGCTTTGGGAAGGAATTCGCAGGTTGGGTTCGCATTGGTCTTGGCATGCCATCCGATCGGCTTAGAGAGGGCTTGGAAGTGGTGTGTAAGTTTATCTCAAATCGCTATGGGGGCATAGCCCTGGCTTCAACGAGGTGAAGCGGAAGGATTTGGCGCTGACTTTGACACGCAATAAATGCTGATTCACCATATGCACATTGACTGGGTTACAATCTGTCTCAAAAAAACATACTGTTGAGGCCCGAATGATGGATTGCTTCAGCTTAAACATTCATCCGAGCATGGTAATGACGCATTGTCTATGTGACTCAGTGACTAAAGTTTCGAGAGTCGAAATTACTCAACTTCTGGACGAGACGACCATGGACCTATTGAAAGCGACGCACGGCTCAGACAGTGCCAATTGAAGCGGCTTGTATTACCTTCCCCTGATCGCTGTATACAGAATGAGTCACTATGATTCATTTGATATCACGATGTAAGTGGACATCATACATACCGTGAAAGTAATATTTGAACCCTGAGATATTTCCGGGGTCCTTGGAAGATTGACAATCAACCACGAGAACTTCATGGTCTCTCAGCACTTCAAGATCAAAATGGTTGGCGAAAGTATTGCCGTTGGAGTCATTGGGGCAACTGGCAAGACGGGCCAGTCTGTGGTCGATGGTTTGCTTAGGTCCGATCTCAATTTCGTAAGCTTGATCCATACCACCCATCTCAATTCCTCTCTTGACATTCAGCACACAGGTTGTTACCTCCTTCACTCGAAAATCATCGGTTGGTAGCGCGGCAAATCAGAAGCTGAAGGACAAGGGCGTCGGGGTTTCGGGCTATGACCCAGACGGCCCGAGAGAGACACTTGCCGCCCAACTGAGAGGCATTGATGTTTTGATTTCCTGTATAACCTGGGAACATCTCCATCAACAACTGAATTGGATCGATGCAGCTAAAGCGGCTGGCGTGAAGCGTTTTGTACCCTCAGAGTGGGTTGGGCCAGCACCCAGGGGTGTGATTGACATCAAAGACCAGGTGAGAAGGCTGGACCCTCGCTCCCACCCCTCCCAAAGGAAAAGAGAATTTATGACTAAACGAAATTAGAAATTGGAAATTCTCGGTGCTATCCAGAGAGCGGGGTTGCCATACACCATTATTGATGTCGGTTGCTGGTTCCAGGTCTTTGTTCCCAAGATACCTTCTGGCAGATCAGATCATGCGCACATGAAGTACATTGACCATCGCATTGTAGAAGATGGGAACCAACGTTTTGCATTGACTGACATGGCAGACGTTGGACAGTATGTCGCACAAATAATCGGAGATGATCGAACTCTCAACAGACGTGTTCTAGCATATACCGAGCTTCTGAGCATGAACGGTATATGGGGCACGATGGCTACAATCAGCGGTGAAGAGCCCCCAAAAGACTATGTAGGTTCAGCACGGTAATTTACTCCGCATTTTCTGACAGTGACATTGACAGGTCTCTGAAGCCGAGCTACACCAAATCATTGAGACCTCTGGCGGGAGGCTCAAGGAAAGTTCTGAGGGGGTAACACATCCAAGCAACATCATGGACATTGCCCAATACAACATGGGACAGTACCGCCTTTCTTGGTGCGTTAGAGGGGACAATACACCGCAGTACGCTGATTACTTGGGATACTTGGACTTTTGGAAGCTCTTCCCAGAATTTGAGAAAGGTAGAACTCTTGAACAATTCTTTCTACACATAATCAACGGAGGGTCACCAGGATATGTCATGGCATAGTAGAGATATTGGATACTCGTAAACAAATAGTGCTCCCGTTTGGAATATTTATCAATCTAAAGTAGAGACCCCAGAGCCTGATCAGACCACGTGTGACCTTTTCGTTTCATTGTTTGGTGAAAGGCTTTTGCCCAAAGACAACGTGACTGAGAAGAACTGTCAGAAAAGATTGCGAGCTTTAAAAAATGGCGCATCATACTAACATATCGAACAAGGCATGGAAAGCGTTTGTTTTCAACTCGTTGCGAACACCTGCAAGGAGCGACTGTACCTCCTCACTTGACTTCCCGAGAACTCCACAGAATAGTTTCAGGGAGAATCCTTCTAGACCTTCCAAAACTTGCGCCAAGTTAAGAAGCCCTATGTCCTTGTAATGCCGCTTCTTTGCCCAAGGCCCGATAGGGACCTTGAATTTCTGATGGGCCACGTTGTTGAATCCTCCGTGTCCCCTCACCCAGCCTTCGAGCTGAGGGCCTGGGGCCGGGTCTCGTCCAATAGCCTTCAGCGTCTGAACGAAGGTTTGGTTCCACTTGTATGTGAAATGTTCAGGCTTGTATGAACCGTCGTCGGAATAGTATTCGACGCTCATGTCCTGGAACTCGGCCCAGCCCCCGGGGTTGAGGTTGCTGGCATTCTATTAGATCTCTTTCAAAGAATTGAAAAGAGTCTTCGTACGATAAACATACTCATGAATGTTTTTGACTAAACTTGGCCAGTCACCAATTGAGGCCGCCATGTACCTGCACATGATGTAGTCGTACTTCGGGCCGACCCATGGGCTCTCAACATCATCTATCTCGAACTTGACATTTGGCGGGACCCTTTTGTCTCAGCTCCTATATCAGACTGCGTCAATATCATGAGTAAAGCTACTTACCACAGTGGTTGGTTCGCACTCAGATCGTTGCCAATGATCTGCCAGTTGTACAAGGTTAAGGCTTCATACTTAGGGTCTTGTTTGAAGCGGGATTGTTTACCTCTGCATTCGGAAAAAAGTCACTTGCTTCGATAGTCCCTGCTTTTGCTTAGTAAAGAGACCAATCCCATCAGGGAGGCATGGATTCGTACAGATTCCTGTTCCAGTACCGATATCAAGGATTCGATGAACCTTAGGCGTCTCTACAGGCGCCAGGTAGAGCTTATTGCCAATCACTCTTGTAATGAGCGCATGTGCCATGTCGAGCCGGTCTGACTCTGTCTCATCGTTGGGGAGAACGTAAGCTAGGTCACCTGAAGTCAGCAATCAATGTAAGTCGAAAGAATGATTTGTTCCGAGATGCCAATGCAAGGGCGAGGACATGGAACAAAACAACTTACATCCTGACCTGAACGCATGATATCGCCGTCCATATTCCATTGGATAGTCGATTACACTTGATGTCAAGGAAGAGGTGTAGCTTGAGCTACATTTCGACCTCTGTTAACATGGAACATACGACTATGATATCCGGATCCCATCCACATACATGCGGTCGTCGATTGATGGTGCATCATTGCCCTTCCCGGTGTCAGTTGACCATACATGATGAATGAAAAGACATCATACCGTTTCAGCCTCATCAGCCTCGAGAGGTCCGTCTTGCACCGCACCTACTGACATAGATGGTGCATCAATAGAGCCGAGGAATGCTCGAGTAGTTGACGACTCAGCTAGCCTGGATTCCGCGGGTGACCCAATGTGCTTCTCCGAAGTTTCGGCCATCTCGTTGATCGTTGAAAGGGGCCTCTTGCTTTGACTGGGAAGGTGAATTGCGTCCACTGACGTAAATTATTGAAAAGAGGGGTAGGATCGATAGTTGTGGGTTGGGTGAGGAGACGGGTTTTGTAATGCAACGCATTCACTCAACAATGGCGTTGTGGAACATTTACTATTGGCCAACTCGGCTAGATTGCGCTGCATTCGGACATGTAAAGGCAAATTGCAACTGGACCATCACTCTTGCGGTCAGAAAGTCTTGGACCCTGTTCGTAGATCTTAGGAGGCCCGCAACCCAATCTGACTAAGACAGAGGCTGCTGCGGGGCGATCAGCTGGTACGCCACAAGTACCACAAGGCTTCAAGCGGCATGAATACTCGCCGAACAACATGTGACGCCAATTCTTATCAGTTTACTCAGTGAATTGATTGCCAATTGGCTCTGAGAGAAAGCTAAGAAAAACTTGTCGGCTGGTGCTGCGATGGTGAACGGTGGAGTAGTAGTCAAAGAGGACTTGGATTCGACTCCTTGCTGGAAGTATTTATTCTTACTTTCCTGTCCGTCTCATTGCAGTTTGTGTGTCAATTGAAGTTTCATCGATATCATCTGACTTATATTTCCATGGAAGAATTATCAATCAGACCGAAAGGAGCCGTGATGTCAGGAACAGAATCTAAGGACAAAACCCATCCGCAGAATTTGGCATGATGATCCCTGAGTCAATAAATCCTTCGTAATTCCAGTAGTCGCTCTGTGTTCCTTGCCCATCGACAGGAGCGTCCCCTGAAAACTTTGCCGTCCAGTAGGTGCTACCCTGGGTGTACTTGGACCAGACGTACAATCCGTTGTTCAGATTCCTAGCCCTGCTAGCACAAGTGTTGTTGTTCACCGCTTGAAT